GCAGAGACTCACAGTGTCTTATAATGAGAGGCTGCTTTCTCTCACACATTATGTTCACTTATTATCAGCACATGTTGTTGTTCTGTGGAAGCTAACATCTTGTAGTTTCTGACACTTTGCATGTTTAGCATGAGGCTAAAATTCCCCCTCAGTGGGTCACTGGTGACCTGCTGGATGTTCAGAGGTTCATTAAATCCAACATGACTAAAAACTCAAATGTCAAAGGAAATAAACAAAATATTTAAAGTCAATCATTCTGATCATAATTGTACTTTGACCTTTAACCTCTCTGCTCTGTGTTGTTTCCTCTTTCAGACCAGAAAACCATCACAGCTGTGCCTGGACAGGACGTCACTCTGACATGTCGAGCTCCAAACAACAACATCATAGTTGTAAAGTGGAGCAGAGCTGACCTGGAAGAAGAAAATGTGCTTTTGTACTTGGACGGTCACTTTGATTCAGCCAAACAGCATCCATCTTTTAAGGACCGGGTGGATCTGCAGGACAGACAGATGAAGGATGGAGACGTGTCTTTGATTCTGAAGGATGCGTACACGGCTGATAGTGGAACATACATGTGCCGTGTCTTCATGGAGGAAACACGCTCATGGGAGCTCATCAGCATCATCTACCTGAGTGTTCCTCCAGGTGAGTGAGTATTGAGTTGAGTGTGTGTGTGATCAGAAGTTAAGCTGCTTCCTGGTTGTTGATGTGTGTTTGTTGTATGGATGAGCTGGTGGATGTCAGAGGTAGACAGATGTTTCTCCAGCTGTTGTCTTTGTGGCTGGTAGTCTAGAGTTGTTGATATTTTTAGTTTAGAGTGCAGAAAGAGGTGAAAGAAAAATAACACACACATGTAAAGGAAGCTCTTAAAACATGTGGTTATCCTAATTGGGCATTCATAAAGTCAGCAAAGAGGCACAGAAAAGAAGATCAGACACCAGCGAGGGAGGATAAGAAGGACAGACGCAACAACATTGTCATCCCCTATGTAGCCGGTGTATCAGAAAAACTCAGGAGAGTTTTCTCCAAACATGACATCCCGGTGTACTTCAGACCCAGCAACACACTCAGACAGAAACTGGTTCATCTCAAAGACAAAACTCCTAAACACAAACTTAACAATGTGGTGTATGCTGTACAGTGCAGCGAAGAACAACATAGACTACATGATCAAAACAAAACTAGCCACCATCTTTAAAAAAATACCAAAAAAATTATATAAATAAAAACTGCAAAAAAATATATATACAAGTTAACTCCTAACTGTGTACAGCTGAGTTTTAGTCTCATTAAAGATGTACATTTTAAAAAACTTCAAATTATTTTACCTTTCAATGTCTCAAAAATGTATTTCAATTTAACACTACTCATGACCCTGTGGAAATTTAAATGGCATTTTCCCCCATTAACATAAATTCTCTTATCAGCCAGTGTATGCTTCTGCAGTATTGAAATACTTCAAATGCCCAGTGTCCAACATGTCATTTTTTATTCTTTTTTTTCTTTCTTAACCTAATCTACTAGACAAAGAAATTGATTCTGTTCTGTTCTTCACTCATCACCTACCTGAGACTTCACACCTGTTTCTCACCTGCAGATCAACCAGGAGGAGACACAGTGGATGGATATGTGGCACTGATAGTCAGTCTGTCAGTTCTTGTTGTGCTTCTTCTTCTTATTCTTTTTGGTTTTTTGATCTGGAAAATAAAACAATGTGTTTCTAACACTGATAATGATCAAGAAGCTGGACAGCCTCTGAAGATGAATTAGAACTCTCCTGAACATCCAGCAGAGGTCAAACATCTCTGATGATCATCATGTTCAGACTCAGACCAACAGTGTGTGTCTGTGCTGTCTGTCAGTGACTCTGAACTACAGTTTATTCATCTTCAGGCTGTTCATGAGATTTACTGACACAAAGTCAAACTGTGTTACAAACATACATGAATTTCTGATCTCTGATCTCAGAGTCAGTGAGTGTTTTTGTGTTGGAGCTTCAGGTTCAGCTGTTTGTAAGAACTTACTTGCCTTGTGAGTTGTGAACCACACAAACTGATCCTCCATTCCAGAGCTTTTTTAATAGACAAACTGAAAACACGATCAGGATTCACTGATTGTCTGCTGTTGAAAGACATCTGTATAAATTGTATTTAACTCAATTTAAGTGAAATCCATGTAAATTACCTTTAAATTAAACAGACCTCTTTTCTGTTGGTGTAAATATAAACTTCATGTGACCATTTCCTCTTTAAGTGGAGCAAAAAACAAGTTTGTATAGCAAGCCTTTCTTTAGCTGATGTTACTTAATTTTATGTATTCATTTTTTTTTTATGATTGATGTAAGAGTTGTATAAAAGTAAAACATTTAGAACACCCTAATATGCAGTCCAATGTGTCATTGCACTCTGAAATGAAAGCATAGTACAAATAAGCAGTTAGAGTTAAAAAAGAAATCATAGAAATAAATTTATGGAACAAAGTGTATTCTAAACTTTTGACTCATCAAAGTAACCACCTTTGGCAGATATAACAGCTGAACACACCCGCAGCATTCTTTCTACAATACAAATCAAATATTCTTCAGAAAGTTATACATTGCAGACGTTCCCATAAATGTTGGCACTTGTAGGCTGCTTTGCTTTCACTCTTCTGTCCAGTTCATCCCAAAGCAACTTGATGGGGTTTAAGTCTGGAGACTGTGCTGGTCACCAATGTTCCCTCTAAGCTGCGCGCGTGCGCAATTGCGCACTGCTGGCACGGTCTCTGCACAGAAAAAAATCTGCGTTGCGCACAAAAAATCTAACCTGATTTGAAATTAAAATTAAAACTTTAACAATTCTGTTTTGCAGTGTTAGTCAGTAAGTGACTGGCTGCTCCCGTATGGGATCAAAACGATGCCACCTTATCCCATAGTCCAGACAATGATGCGATAATCAACGTGGTTGACAGGCTATGACAGCGTCCTTATGTGCCGACACTGGTGTTTTAGCTAGCAAAGCGGCGTGGCTGATGTGGAGTGAAGCCACGTTAATGACAACATGTACAACCATTGGAGATGTGAGCAGGACAGACGGAACAA